CACCATGTAGCTTCCTCAGCCGGATCACTTTATATCGTTGTGGTAATATTCCATTCATTTTGTTTTATTTACATAAGCGCTAAAACCTATCTGTTACAAATACTAAAATCGACAAAAAGAAGCTGGAATAATTCCAGTTCGCATCCCACATTAGTGCTCGCTGTAAATACACTTATATGGAATAACAGGCTATAATATTGATCCCAAACTAATCCTAACTAGAGTATCGGTAAAGAACTCACTGTAAACTCATAGAACTCCTGAAAACATGCGGAGGGATACGTGTGCAGGGGTGAAACATTGACTTACATTCAATTTGCTATTTTTTTAATTAGTTTTTTTTGCAAAATTTGGAAAATCGTGATTTAGACATAACTAATTTAGTTTGAAAATGTTGTCAATTGCTGACATTTAGACTCTCATTATCCCCTATGGGTTGGAATGACAAAGTTACAAAGTAGAAATTTAGGAAGTTATCTGCTAAACTGCGGAAAGATCAAAATTGAGAAAATCCTTGTCCTTTAATTTGCGCTCTAAGTTGTTTAGTAGATAAGTCCCTAATTTGCTCTTCTTACATGGGATTGGATCTGAAATAATTCCAATTAATTCAGTTTTATCTTGGTTTCTATCGGACTATTCTATTCATAAGCAGCCAAACAGCACATGTCTGTGGTACATGTTAGAGTGGGTGAATATTAAGACATAGCTTACCTTATAGCTTGCACAGCACAAGTCACATTGTGGGTACATTAGCCTGCATAATGACAGCACCACATGTAGCAATGTACTTGGTACTGTAACGAGTACCATTAGTTTAAACGCAGCTTTAATGGCATTGGAATCTCTTTAAAGGCATCGCTATAATGACACAAACTGACTTAAACTGACTTTTACAGAGTGATTTCTAACCTATCGCCTAACCCTGAGCTTAGTGCTCTGTTCTAAGAAATCATTCCTATCCATTCTATACACTGACTCATTTTGTACAGAGAGGGATATAATTCTTACTCAGGGCCACTGTAGTAATAGAGAGCCCAGCCAGGGACATGCCACAAAGAGTCCGGCATACAGCTAGCATGGTATAGGAGATGGACACAGCAGACAGACTCCCAAATACAAATGATAAGATATAGCAGATCAGTAACATCGTACGGCGGCCATACCTGGTGAAAGACACATCAGTAACATTCTATCAGTGACATTCTATCAGTAACATTCTATCAGTGACATTCTATCAGTGACATTCTATCAGTGACATTCTATCAGTAATATTCTATCAGTAATATTCTATCAGTAAAATTCTATCAGTAACGTTCTATCAGAAGCATTCTATCGGTGACATTCTATGAGTAATGTGACGACGTGCCCTTTGCCACTTGTGCCTGGAGAGGACTAATTGCCAGCCTCTTGCCTTGTGACTATGGCCCCTGGGAGAGTTTGCCCTTTAAAAACTTTATTTGGCCATATTGGATTTTATTTCACTGTTTCTGGCCCTTTAAATACTTTGGGAAAGGATGTATACTTTTTCTATGGCACTTCGGATGCGAAGTTCCGAAGTAGTCGAAATGGGCGTCATTCGACAAACGAACACGTGGCGGCGGCCATTTTAATTCAGCTGAACGCGGTCAGCGGTGTTTTGCCATTCTCTCAGTAACATTCCATCAGTAACGTTCTTTCAGTGACATTCTTCTATTAACATTCTACCGGTATCATTCTATCAGTGACATTCCATCAGACGCATTCCATCAGACGCATTCCATCAGACGCATTCCATCAGACGCATTCCATCAGACGCATTCCATCAGACGCATTCCATCAGTGGCATTCCATCAGTGGCATTCTCTCAGTAACATTCCATCAGTGGCATTCCACCAGTGACATTCTACCAGTAACATTCTTCTAATAACATTCTACCAGTAACATTCTACCAGTGACATTCTACCAGTAACATTCTACTAGTGACATTCTATCAGTGAAATTCTATCAGTAACGTTCTATAAGAAGCATTCTATTGGTGACATTCTATTGGTAACATTTTAGCATTGACATTATATCAGTGACATTCTATCAGTAACATTCTACCGGTGACATTTGTGATGGAAGGCAGCTTGACCCAAGGCTCAAGCTACAAATGACCGGATGAACAATCTGTTTTTACTAAATTATCTAACTTAGATCGTGATATGCTTTGAATTTAACCATAGTTTTAGTGTCTGACAAGTAAGCATAATTTCTTTACTTGTGACATTCTGTGGTATCTGAGGAGACGATTGCAGCTTTACCCTCCTGCCCTTCGTATGTCCTAACTAACTTTATGTTTTTTTATATATAACCGTTGAAATATGCTTACTTCTGTAAATTCCTTTTATGGTACGAAGTGCCTTCTAGCATCCTGTTTTTGTCACACAAGTCACAAAGTAGTATATAATCTTGTAAGCTCTCCAAATAAAGCGGAAGTAATCTTTGATTCATAAGTGTCTGGTGTGTCTGATTGCTTCACCGAGCGCGTGCTTGAACTAACAATTTGGGTTCCCCTGAACATATTTTTGGGTTATTTTTATCCCTATCAATATTGGTGCTGAACAGCCGGGGAGGAAACAATCCATTCCATCCGGACGAAATACCGGGAAACCGAAGGTTGTAGACAGTGACTCTTAAGCTGCATGGGTAAGAAAAATGTTTACTTTTCTACCTATCTAGATTCACTCTCTATTGAGCTCTCTGAGTCCTGGGTCCGGGTGAGTAGGGATTTAAATAAGTCTCCTCCTAAAGAACTTGTTTTCTGTGGTTAGTTAACTTTAGGTGGAATGTCTTGTGAAAGAAATCTTGGAATCTTGAGATAGTAGAATATATCTGTGGGGCTCAAGTTTGTCTGCCTTGTCATTTGTTTCATAGTTCTATAGTTAGAGTCAGAATCCTCCAAGGCAAAGCTCTGATCTGTGTTTAAATGAAGAAGACAAAGACTGTGAAAATTCAACTGCAGTGGTCCTAAGTGTTTAAACACTGTCTGTATAGTCTTGTCTTGGTTAAGGAAGACAAGTGCACTTCATATCTGTCAGGGTCCCGTGGGCGGCTGCGAGGGGAGGTTGCAGTCCGCTCGCGGCACTCACCCTCCAGCCGTCCGCGGTCCCCTTCCTGGCGTGCGCTCGGCGGGTGGCCTCCTCCCAGCCATGGATGCCGCCGCGTCTTCCTCTGTGTCCCCCAGCGGCAGCATGCATGACGCTGCACGCTGGGAGACCGCCCATTTTAACAAACGCCGGGGTCAGTCACCTGACGTTAAAGGCACAGTGCCTCAATCACAGTGGGAGGTTTAGATATCTCCCACGTGTGTTTAGATATCTCTCTCCGCCCTGTTGTGGTCTTTTCTTGCTAGTATTGCTACTGAACTTGTGTTTCTGGTTACGTACTCTCTGGCTTGTTTATCCGACTTTGTGACTTTCTCCTACCCTTTGACCTCGGCTTGTCTATCGTTATTCTGTCTTCTGGTTCCCCTTTACTCGGCTTGTTTCCTGACTATTCTTTGTGTGCTTAGCCCGGCCACTCTAAGGTCCGGTACTGCACTTTGTGTGTGTGTTGGCGTGTTTGGTTCCCCGAATCGTGACAATATCTGAGAGTCAAATAGAACCATCAAATACTGCTGTGACATAGCAGTTTTAAAAATTCAAATTTTTTAGGTGCTAAATAGTACATTTGTGGCCTGCGGTGCACTTCATATATGAGAGTCAAATAGAACCGTCAAATCCTGTGGTTACATTGCAGTTTGACTAATTCGTATTTTGTTTGGGTGCTAAAAAGTAAATTTGTGGCTTGCACTTCATATCTGAGAGTCAAATAGAACCGTCAAATACTGTGGTTACAGCGCAGTTTTAAAAATTCAAATCTTGTAGGTGCTAAATAATACATTTGGGGTGTGCACTTCATATCTGGTGTATGTGTGCAACACTGGCTAGTTACTGCGTTTCAAGAAAGTCTAAAGACTTTTAAAAAATGTGAAAAATAAGTGTTATTGTGATCGCTTCATATACAGAAGCATTAATATACATTTCTATATTGAGTAAAGACACAACTACAAAGTTAAAAACCAAACACCAAAACAACGTGCCAGACAATCTACCTGTGCATGGCTAGTGTGATACAATACGTCTACATCTTAAAAATGCAATAACCCACAGAAGATGGGCGAGAATTTATTTGGAAATGGAAATTTGATTCGAACTTACTACATCGGTCACTTGTAATATTGTTTCACACCTACAACACTTGTTACAAAGATCTAAGTGATAGAAAACAGATTGATATTTTCTACTCTAGAAACTACCAGATAACAAGCTGCTATATTTAAACCAGTGATCAATAGCTAAGAGGTACTTCAACAATATTGTAATTCTGGGGCAATACCCTCACAAGTCAAACTGAGAAGTCAGTTTATAAAACTGTTGCCTGGATACAATTCTAAAACAATTTCCATATGTCCTTTGCAGACTTTACATGCTGGAAAAACACAGGTGCCAACTGCAGGGTTGAGGAGTGGGTGGAAGATGATGTGGAGAATGATGAGGTCCTAGACCTCACATGGAATCAAGGTTATGCGAGTGACGTCGGCATGTATTAGCTCTAGAATTACCACAGTTATCCAACTAACAGATGGAGCAATCAAAGGAACCATAACTGATTTAATGAGCCATTCGCAATTTCATTGTAGTGGCTCGCGCGCTTTCGGCGTTCTCACCCTGCTGCTGCTCGCCTGTCTGCGCTGCAGTGTAACTTCGGCCTTCCCACTCACCACCTCATATGCAACGTGCCCACAAGGTGGAACTCCACCTTGCACATGCTGGAGAGACTGTGCGAGCAGCAGCAGGCGATAGTGGAGTTTCAGCTGCAGCACGCACGGGTCAGTCGCTCTGCACCAGACTTGCCATCCAATAGATCCTCGTTAAAGGATTTAAAGTGTACTCTTTCCAATTACAGGGCTTCTAAAGAGTCCTGTATTGTTATTTATCGTCACTAACTCCCCGCGTCGGGAGTGGGTAATTTGCACGCCTGCTGCCTTCCTTGGGTGTGGTAGCTGTTTTTCAGGCTCCCTCTCTGGAATCGAACCCTGATTCCCCGTTACCCGTGGTCACCATGGTAGGCGCAGAAAGTACCATCGAAAGTTGATAGGGCAGACATCCAAATGCGTCGTCGCCGTCACGGGGACGTGCGATCAGCCCAAGGTTATCTAGAGTCACCAAAGTGCCTGCGCAACAACTGCAGAGTTGCCCACATTCTAACTTGTGCTGATTACTGGGTGGCCACCCTGCTGCATCCCCATTACAAGGACAACATGCTATCCTTAATTTCCTCACTGCAGCGTGATCAGAAGATGCGCGACTACAAGTGCACGCTGGTAGACGCGCTGCTGAGGGCATTCCCAACTGACACCGGGGGCTCAGTGGAAGCACAAGGTGAAGGCAGAGGAGGAGGAAGAGGTCGCCAACGCAGCTGGGGCACCGCCAGCACCTCACAAGGCAGGGTTAGCATGGCCGAAATGTGGAAAAGCTTTGTCAGCACGTCACAACAACCAGCACCACCATCTGATATGGAACGTCTTAGCAGGAGGCAGCATTTCAGCAACATGGTGGAACAGTACGTGCGCACACGCCTGTAGCAGAGTAGCAGTATAATCCACGGTATCTCCGCTGGTAGTCAGGATAAAGCAGGTAAAACACAGGCAGCGTAATAATAATCCCTCTTCTCCAAGGACTAGAAGAAACATAGTCTGGGAGTCAACTGTCATTTTATTCCACGGTCACAGTATTTATGCAAGTCCCCATGCAAGGGGTTTCCTGAATGACATTGCAGGGGTTTTACTACAGAGGACTGTGTGGGGAACTTAGCCTGCAAGGCTGTTTCCCAGCATGCCTTGCTGTACAGGAGAGATAATTGTGCAATAATGTACTGCTAATCACATTATCTCTCCGTACAGCAAAATATACAGTTTTTCATAAAAAAAAAAAACATAACTGATATAATATTCAGACGAATGCTACACACTGCATATGAAATGAGCATAGCAACAGTTAACGAAATATTCACCCTAAATGTCCAGAAGTGGCTAGGTTTGCCACAACGCCTACACATACTGACTGATGGGTCTGCCCCATTCAACTTCTGGGTCTCCAAATTAGGCACATGGCCTGAGCTTGCCCTTTATGCCTTGGAGGTTCTGGCCTGCCCTGCAGCCAGTGTATTGTCTGAACGTGTGTTTAGCACGGCAGGGGGTGTTATCACAGACAAGCGCAGCCGCCTGTGCACAGCCAACGTGGACAAGCTCATGTTTATTAAAATGAACCAGGCATGGATCCGACCAGATTTGTCGGTACCTTGTGCTGAATAGACATTTATACTGGCCTCACTCAGCCATTGTTATACTCAAGTGCACTTATTCTTTGTTTTCTTTTTTTATATGTCCCAATATTTTGGGGGCTACTCCAATTAAAAAAAACTAAACAAATAATAAACAGTGTTGGCTACCTCCTCCACCGCTTCCACCTACACAGCCACGGTCACCGCCTCCTCAACCTCCTACTCCACATCCACCTCCTCCTCCTAGAGCAGGGTGCAAAAGCGGAGCGGCCATCCCCTAGACAGTATGCCTGCTACTGCCCACCGCACCCAGGGACCGAGCACACCAAAGCCAGCTCCAAGGAATTCCCTGGCGTGGCAGTTCTTCAGACAATGTGCTGACGATAAGACACGAGTGGTTTGCATGCTGTGCAATCAAAGCCTGAAGCAAGGCATATACATTCTAAACCTGAGCACAACCTGCATGACCAGGCATCTACATGCAAAGCACGAGCTGCAGTGGAGTAAGCACCTCAAAAACCAAGAAAGGTCTCAGGCTCCTCCTGCTTCCTCTTCTTTTGCTGTCTCCACCTCTGGAGTGACAGTAAAACAGAGGATGTGGCAGCAACGCCACCACGTCCGCCACCGTCCCCAAGCATCTCCACACTGTCCCATGGAAGCGTTCAGCTGTCCATCTCCCAAACACTGGAGAGAAAGAGAAAGTACCCCCTTACCCACCCACAATCTCTGGCCCTGAATGCCAGCATTTCAAAATTCCTGGCCTTTGAAATGCTGTCATTCCGTTTGGTGGAGACGGACAGTTTTAACAACCCGATGGCGTTATTGGACTGCAAGAAATACACCGCAGGTCGCAAATGTTTCTTTTTTTTTATATGTCCCAATATTTTGGGGGCTACCCCAATTAAAATAAATAAATGAATAAATAAAAACAAATAAAAAACAGTGTTGGCTACCTCCTCCTCCTCCACCGCCGCTTCCACCTACACCGCCACGGTCACCGCCTCCTCAACCTTTGGGTCACTTAGTATAAACTATGTACACAATAGCAGAGGCTTGTGAAGGCCTTTTCTCCATGCATCAGGAGTTGAGCTCAGTTTGAACAATGAAAGAGAATACCCTGCACGCTAACCCTCTCTTGGATGGATAATTCTGGTGATCTTCCTGACAGCCATGCTTTAGATTTTTATTTATGTTCTTCCAAAGTTAAAAATCAAAGATTCCATCTAATGCTATTTTATGGCTCAGCTGTATTTTTAATTTGTATGTATTTTATGTTATTTTAAGTAATTTTCCTATCCACATTTGTTTGCAGGGCACTTGTCCTACTCTTACACCAATTTTACTTCCCTTTTCAGCCCTATAGCCCTTTCCAGGACTTTTTTAGAGGCATTTTAGTGCCCAAAAGTACAGGTCCCCATTGACTTCAATGGGGTTCAGGTTCGGGGTCAAGTTCGAAGCCGAACTCGAACTTTTTGACAAAGTTCGGCTGAACTCGGCGAACCCGAACATCCAGGTGTCCGCTCAACTCTACAAAGGATCCAGGAGGAGTTTACAGCTCTAACTATAGTTAAACATCTTAATGGGCAAGGATCTACTAAGGCAATAAAGAAATAACTTAATAAAGCTAGCATGCCCTTAGAGGGCACCCTTGACCCACAGATATGGAAGGAATTTATGGCAAATTATAGAGGATGGTTAGAAGATAATGATTTAATAGAAGTTGTTCAGAAATGGCATGATACTGCAGTTGAATTAACTAAATGTGGTTGTAGAGAAGCTACCAGGAAAGGAATACCCTACTACAAATGTTTTGGACCCTTAGGGTCCTGCAACAAAAAGGATTCCAAAAGGGAACCTGAAAATCCACCCTCTTACCGGGGTAAGGAAGGAACCGTACATAAATCGGTCCCTAAAGAGAAAATGAGATCTCAAGTCCCTGCATCCACTGTAAATCCAATTACCCAAAAAGCATACTGGATCTGTCCACATTGTGAATGGATAAACCCAAGGTGGGAAGAAAAATGTAGAAACTGTGGGTCCCCTGCCCTCCTGTGGACCATTTAATGCAGTCTGGACTCACTGAAGAAGGCACAAAGGGAGTTCAGAATCTATTTCCTGTCATCTTCAAGGGTCCTATGGAGAACCCTGAAGAGGACGAATGAGGGGGAGAGGAAGGAGTAACGGGATGAGATAGTATAACCACCTGAAATAAGACACAAAAGAAAAAAGAGAAAGAGAAAAAGAGGCAGGGAGCTTTAATGAAAGTAGACCACTAGAGGTTCAAGCAGGTCCAAAAGGGTGGGAAGGGTATAAGCCATGGATACCAAGTGAACAACTAGCTTTAATTCAACAGTTGTCATATGTGGAAAAAGCTTCTTCAGCTTTAGTTCAATCCCTGTCCACTATTCAGGCTACTTACCAATGCACTTGGGCAGACCTAAAGTGTCAGGGGTGGCTGTCCGGTGACTGGGACCCAGTATGCCTGATCTTGATAGTAGGAGTCACTGTGTGGAAATGGATTAGCAGGGCCTGGTGCAGGGTAGCCGCACGCCTCTTGGTGTTGAGCACCAGCGTTTTTGCGGCCACATACCAGGGCCCTGATGCAGCTTTTATGGATCCCAGGTGCCAGATGACAATATGCAGACCTCCCAGGATCTGAATAGGGAGGCTGTGCAGCAGATATGTATCCAGTACTGAAACAAGGCAAGACTAGAATAGACACCAAACAAGAATACAAGACAAAACTAGGAGAACCCAGAACCGGAGCAGGACAGAAAGCAGAACCCAGAACATGTACACAAGACATGAGGGAAACATGAATAGGGCAGGACAGGACTGTACATGAACTGGGAATACAAGACAAAATAAAACAAGACAAGAGATACAAGGCAAAACAAGATGAGACATAACTAAGTACTAATATGTGCAATAAACATTGGAGATTTAGACATATATAAATGGCCAAGATGTATGCAGCTCACCACTGCGTCAAAGTACTCCAATTACGATGGGTTCCTATCTGCCTAGATATGCATGACTAAATAAACAATAATAAAACACACACAGCACTTACCTGCACGAAAGGGGCAGAGGACTTGGAACAACTTATAGAAATGTGGTGTAAAATATACCACCTTCTGGAGCGCTAATACAAATAAAAGTGATAGAGGGGTTCACTTACCTCAACAATTTTGTTTGTTGTCTTAAATTCAGGAATATGCTTTTAAACATACATTGAAGGGAACAAAGAGATAAAAAACATATAGTGTAGATGGGTTTGGTGAAAAGGAGTGATGAAAGTAAAAAACTGAAACCACTCACATGGTCTGGATCCTATCCCTTTCCTCTGAGATGTACCTCCACAACGACAAGGAAACAAAACGAGAAAGGGACCCAATGGGTGGTATATGTGCAAACAGGCAAATAATATATAGGTGGTAAAGGTTATGCTCACCTAGTTGAGAGCCTTAAATTCCTGGCTCTGAGGGTGGTCAGCTATGTGCCATTATGAAGGGATGGCACTTCCCTGTAAAGATTCCCAGAGTCTCCAAGGACTTCAATGGATAAAGAAAATGTATTGATTCCAAATAAAAAGTTCATATAAAAGTCCAAATCAGCCGAAAAGCATTTCACTCGTCTGTGAGCGTCCTCAGTCAGATGTGAGGAAGCTCACAGACGAATGAAACGCGTTTTGACTGATTTGGACTTTTATTTACAATTTTTATACTCCACATTTCTGGTTTTATATTTACTTTTTATTTGGAATCAATAAATTTTCTTTATCCACTGTCACAAATTCCACCTTCTTCTAAGGTGTTTTCTGTCATTGACTTGGCAAATGCATTATTTTCTGTTCCATTGTACCCAGACAGTCGGTACCTTTTTGCATGCACCTACAAGCACAAACAATACACCTGGACAGTGTTGCCACAAAGTGCCCAGAATTCACCTACTATGTATAGTTCGGCAATGGCCCAAATTCTCGAAGCATGGCCAAGGGCAG